CCCTCCTCTGATTACTCTTGAGCAATGCTTGCTGATGGCTCAGGGCTCCCCTTTCTCCGAAGAACTACCCTCTGCCTAAGGGAACTGGCTTTCTAGAGTTGTCTGGAAGCTTTGTCCCCTCTTTGGCCTGCAGCCAATGACTGTCTGATATGGAAGCCCCAAGGAGCTTCTCAGTCTGCCTTCTTAGCGCAGAAGGCAGCGCATCAGTCTCATAATCTGTAGGTTCTGAGTTCGAACCTCAGAGGGGGCAGTTCTTTTGGGGCTTTCTTTGTAGCTCAGTTGGTAAAAAGTTTGCCTGCAATGCAGGAGACCAGGGTTCGATTCCTGGATCAGGAAGATCCTCTGGAGAAGGAAATGGCAACCCACTCCAGTATTCTTGCCTGGAGAATCCCATTAACAGAGGAGCCTAGTGGGATTGCAAGAGTCAGACATGACTGAAGAGACAGCATGCATGCACCCTTGCCTGAAGCAGGCTTAATTGTAGGTGGTCATCCGCATTCAGAAGATCTGGTTGGGTTCCAACTATGGATATCTTTGCTGCTTTCCTTCCAAGACCTCTTGCTTCCCCTTACTTCCTTAACCTACACCTCCTGAGAGCACCTCCAAGAATTCGCTTGCACTAGAATCCCTGTCTCAGACTCTGCTCCTAGGGAACCCCATCTAAGAAAACCTTCAACTAACGGAGAATGTATTAATGTGCTCTTGTTTCAGGATGAAGAACATGGGAAGACTAGTGAACTCTGTGATCCTGGGCCCTCTTGCACATTTTGTTCTCTGTGAAATGCATTCCTGAGAAGTATGTGGTACCATGGCAGTGAAAGATGACTCTGTAAATTCGTGGATGATGGTTTAGATAGAAGCATTTCAGGCAGGAAAGGAAAACCCGCATCCAGAGTAACTGTCTCCTAGTAAAATAAGGCACTACTGCTTCCATGGTTGAAGCAGGATAATTTAAGCAACACATCACCAGGCAGCTGGCTGACTCCCTGGGGAATGGCACCATGTTGGAAGTTCAGTGTTGGACCCTACTGTTGGCAGACTGGGCACTCAGGAGTGGCTGCAGCCAGATTGACCTGGGTGAGCGGAAGCCCCTGTTGCTGAGTCTCTGAGTAACCTCCATCCCAGTCGCCAGGGCACTTTGTTGCCTCATTGGACAATCACAAGAGTGTTGAAGTGATTGAATCTGCCCATCACACAAAAGCTGGTGTTTCTATAAAAGCAATCTGTACAATAGAAATCCTTTAGAAAAGAGGTATAAATAAAGGAGGAGTTCAAGGACTTTCATTGCAGTTCAGTGATTAAGACTCAGAGTTTTCACTGCCGTGGCTGGGGTTCAGTCCCTGGTTGGGAACTAAGATTTCACAAGCTGCATGGTGTGAGAAAAAAAAAAAATGCAACAAATTGGAAATCCCAAGATAGACATCATAGGTTAAGAATCTCAGGAATATCACAGAGCAATATTCTTGGAATAGTGAAGAATAAAAGCAAATAATTGAATATATGAAAGGAATGAGTGATTAGTGTTCTCTGTCTTCGTTTCTCCTTTTTAAGTAGGTATCCCACCAAGAACATAAGCTATGTGTGATGCATCAGGGGCCAGTTAAAATCAGGGAGTCCTCAGGGTCTTCTGAAGGAAAAGTGTTAGGGTCCTATGGCTCTCTGCAAGTCTTTTTTTGCTTTCTAAAGCTGTACTTTCTGCTTCTACAGCCCCATTTCCACTTCAAATTGTATGTTATTGTTGCAATTTTCTTCTTCCTAGGGGAGGAAAATGCACCCTGGATTTTTACTTTCCTTATTTTAACTATTTCAGTTCAGAGATGATGTGGCTATTGGTATATAAAATAGTAAGGATGTAGAAGTCAGCATTTGGTAGCCCATGTTTCATTATGTTTAGGTGAGTATTAGCTAGTAGAAGTATTGGTGTATTTGTTACTGCGTCACTTAAATTGGTTTTCCTAATTAACATTTTGGTGTCTGTCACTGGCTGATAAACTGTTTTGCTTTTGCTCGCTAAAATCAATAGTTCAAAGCCGATTCATAAAAATAACTGGTTTTAGAACATTTCATTAATAGATTTAACCATCTATGGCATTGTTTACTCTTTTATGCCTCTGACCCCAACATTTAAAAATGATGTGGAGGAAAAATCACTGGCCTAGGCATCAGTGGTCTAGGTGGCAGTCCCAGCTTCAAAGATGTGGGCACCTCATCCAGCCACTCAACCTCTGTGGCCTTCAGTTTATTCATCAGTCAAACTAGGAAGCCGAACCGAGGACCCACTCTAAAGGAAATACTAAAAGGGGTATTCTTCAAGAAATTAGGGAAAATAATTCCATTGGAACGAAGAAATGGAGAACAATAAAAAGCATACATATTAAACTATATATATATATATATATATGCTTAAAATTACAGATTTAAAATACAAAATAGTAACATCAGAGGGAGATAAATGAAATAAAAATATCCTAAAGTCTTTTTATTGATTGTGCATGTGAGCTCAGTTGCTTCATTCAGTTGGATTCAACTCCTTGCAACCGCATTGACTGTAGCCTGCCAGGTTCCCCTATCCGTGGGATTTTCCAGGCAAGAATACTGGAGAGAGTTACCATTTCCTCCTCCAGGGGATCTTCCTGACCCAGGGACGGAGCCTGTGTCTCCTGCTTTGCAGGTGGATTCTTTACCACTGAGCCACGGGGGAAGCCCTTTGCATTGATCAGGAAGAGGATAAAAACCCCAGGCAATGTTGCATATGTGTTTTTCTATGTATTTTAATATGTTTATTTATTTTTGGCTGTGCTGAGTCTTCACTGCTGCTCGAAGTTTCCTCTAGTTGTGGCGGGCAGGGGCTGCCCTTCCTTGCAGCGGCTTCTCTCGTTGCAGAGGAGGGCTCTAGGGCACGCAGGCTGCAGTAATTGCAGAGCACGGGCTCAGAGTTGCAGCTCCCAGGGTCCAGAGCACAGGCTCAACAGTTGTGGCGCATGGACTCTGTTGCTCCACCGCATGTGGGATCTTTCCTGACTGGGGGTCGAACCCAATGTCTCCTGCATTGGCTCACAAATTCTTTACAACTGAGCCACCAGGGGAGTCCTGCATATTGGCTCTTAATGAGTATGGGTTTAGTCTGCTAGAATTTTGTTTAGGATTTTTGCATATATATATATATATACACACACACACACTATATATATATAGAATAGATTATTCTATATGTAATCTATATATATATAAAATAATGGATTATGACCCAATTGGGTTAATTTCAGTTTAGTTTCACATTTGAAAATTAATCTATATATATCACCTATGTAATTTTTTTTTTTTTGGCCAAAAATGTTTAACCTGAGTTTAATCATGAGGAATATTATATAAATTCAAACTGAGAGACATTCTTCGAAATGTCTAACTGGTTGAAGTATTCTAGGTGAAAAGAGACTAAACAGAAGTGATAACTAAATGCTATGAAGAATCTTTGATAGAATTCTGAATTTGGGGGACTTCTCTGATGGTCTAGTAGTGAAGACTCTGTGCTTCCATCACAGGTGGAGGGGATTTGATCCCTGGTTGGGGAACTAAGATCCCACATCTTGTGTGCTGCACATCTCAGCCAAAAAGAATTCTGAATTTAAAAAAAAAAAGCTACAAAGGATATTATTGACATAATTAAATATGTGAATATCAATTATATATTAAATATATTAATAATATTAATATATTAAATAAACTAATATTAAATGCCCCTAATGTAGTAATTGATTTGTAGGAGAATGCCCTTGTTTTGGGGAAAGATAAAGTGAAATATTCAGGATAATTGCCTTGATGCCAGCAATTAAATTCCCAACGGCTCAAATGGCTTAGTCAAAAAGTACATGCATAGGTACACAGATAGGAAAGTAGATGGAGCAAAATATGAACAACTGATGGATCCAAGTGAAGGCTACATGAAACATATGAAACTTTCCTGAAAGTTTAAAATTTTTCAAAATAAAAACTTGGGGAAAATGTATAGAAAAAATTAAAATATAATAACAATAATATAACAAAACAAATGGCTATTGATGTGAAGGAAATTAACAATGAAATCCAACTGATAATATAAAGTGGCTTTAAGAAAATACATAGTTATCCTTCAATTAAAAAAATTAACTAATTAAAAAAATACATAGTAAAAGTAGTTCCTTAAAGATAGGACTGGACTCTCTGATGAGCAGCTAGTAAGAAGGGATCATCCTGTAGAAAGAGAGGCAGCTGATCTGCTGGAAGCCTCAGTAAGACACGTTTGCTCAAGATGGTGGGGGATAAACCCTATGAAGAATCAGGGGTCTATCACTTCAGCAAAGCACAAGATGGTCCCGTGACAGGCACACTCAGTGCTGGCCTTGAAAAGCAGTGGCAAGGGAAAATCTTCCCAGTGCTAGACCTTTGAAAGGCGCACCTGGTCTTCCATGGTGTGTGGAGAAAGAAAAGCGAGCATATATATGAAATCCTGAGCAGTGGGGAGTGGGTGCATGGCTGGTCAGGAGCCTGAAAGAGTTAGAAAGTTTGTGGCAAAAGGAGGTGTTGGGAAGAGGCATATGAATGACTATATGGAATACATAGCACAGGTTAAGATCTGTATCACATGTTCACGTCCACCACAAAGCATCCACTAACAGAAGAAGGCGCTAAGCCACCAAGGAGACAGGACGACTTGGCCGGCTGGCAGCAGCCGCTGTGACTTTAGCCACCACCCCCCCAATAGGCACAGCGGCACGTGGGCAGGGTGGCCACGGTGGCGGAGACGGGAACGGTTCATTTCAAGGAGACAAGCGCTTTCTCACACAAGGAGCGCCCCCAGGAGTGCTGACCTGTGCTTGGAATTAACCTCGGTTTCGTAGAAGCAAACCACAGAGACCTTCAGGCTCTCTCCTCTCCACCTGGGGATCAATCTCAGGGCAATCCAGCTCAGACCCATAGTCAACTATACATTTAGGAGACAAAACTATTTTAACAACAAGACCTTGCATTTTCACAGCATTTTATTATGGTGAACTCATAAAGGAAGCTTCTTGCATTTAATTTTCCCCCCAACATCTTTCTCAGCTATCATGAAACGGCCATAGCAAAATTATTTAACTCATCTTTATGCAACAAAAACCAACAAAAACCAATGCACAGGGAATTCTCTGGTGGTCCAGTGGTTAGTACGCTGTGTTTTCACTACCACGCTACCAGGGCCCAAGTTCAATTCCTGGGTGGGCAATTAAGATCCCGCAAGCCATGAGGCACAGTACATGAGGTCCCCAAAACGAACAACGCTTCCCCCCAGAAAACCCAACACACAAAGCTTAGTAACTGTTAGGAGGGCAATTGAGAAATAATGAGAAGTCAAGGCTAAAAGTCAAATTTCTTCCAGGTCAGTACTCACACAAGCCTCCAAGTCTCATGGCACCTGCACATTTAAGGAAGAGATTCTTGAAGTTATCTCTGTGTGTCAGGGTGTGTGCATAGATGATAAGACAGATGAGAAGAGGATTGCTTGAAAAGTCAATTTCTCATCTAGCAGGTAAGTGACTTGCCAAGATGACAGTCTGATTAGCCACAGCCGAGGTGAATGTAGTGCTTTGGATACTGCTCCAGCTCCATGCTTAGGAGTGTTTCTGGGTCTACTTCTTGTCTGGCCTCTGCACCTGTGCCCTCATCCCCAGAGGATCACAATTAACCTCGTTCCCCAATAGGAGTCCAGATTATTCATTCCCTTCTTCACAGTTGCTATGTGATTTTTCCCCAAATGGCTTTGCTTTTACCACCAATGCTACGATTCTCCGAGAAATAACACCACATACTTCTCTAGTCAATATTTTTTTTCATGTCATCTTTTATGATAGCCATAAATATTTATAAATTAAATCACTAAAGAATTCAATATTTTAAGGGACTAAGTCTCCAAAGTTCAGGAACCTACTGTACTTTCCTCTGTCATGTCAAAGATGAAAATATGAGAAGTAAAACTGTCAACTTCATAAATATTTCATTTGAAGCTTAAACTGAGTAGCATAAACAAAGTACTTGCAGAAATCTCAAGTAAGGAATTAATAGGCTAAATGCTGAACTAATAGTCTTGACACAGTTTGATTATCATTTGGATTAATCTTATGACTCATCAACTTTATTTATACCTCTGAGTAAATGCGAACACTTCTTTCAGAAGGTACAACAGAGCTTTAACAGAAGGGACACCTGCATTCATTCTCTATAACTCCGGACATTTATCTTGTAAAATGCTCATCTCTCATGTCCTGAACCTCTTGCTGAGCAGTGAATCTGTGCACAATCCATTTCTCTTTCGGCTGGGATTTTCTCTGGGGTCCAGGCTGCTGTCTCTGAGCAATTCTGACTGTGCTTCCTTGGGCATCTGTAAGACAAGCGCACAAACTCCAGGGCAGCCCAGTGCTAACGCACCCAGCCTCCAGCCTCCAGCCTCCGCAGGGCTGAGTCAATAGGAACACGGCATGTGGAACACGAAAACACAGCCCAACACAGCCCAGCACGGGAATGCTGTGTTAGGGAGCTGTTCTTCCTCAACCCTGATGACTACCTTCCATAGACACCGGAGATGTGATGGCAACCTAAAACTTGGGAATCCAAGCCAAACTCAGAAAGCTGTGCTAACTTTGCTAACTCCACAGAGGCATTTCTGGTGGGGGAACTTTTTTTTTTGAGTCCCTTTTCAATAAGCTCCTTTTCAATGCTTATATGCTTCCCAGGTGGCGCTAGTGGTAAAGAATCCGCCTGCCGATGAAGGAGACAAAGAGACACTGGTTCAATTTCTGGGTTGGTGAGATCCCTGGAGGAGGCCATGCAATCCACTAGTGTTCTTGCCAGAAGAGCTCGATGGACAGAGGAGCCTGGCGGACTGCAGTCCATGGGGTCGCAAAGAGTTGGACACGACTGAGGGTCTGAGCACTTTCCAATACTTGCTCGGCCCAGGCAGCCGTGATTCTGCCCCAGACTCTCTATGCGACTCTCACACAGCAGAGAGGGACTGATGCCTAGCATTGGTTTGTGGTGCACCAAGAGACAGAAGCACCCTGTTAGCCAGTCACTTGCTCTCATTCAAAGGGCGTCGTGGTTTTCACTCTCGGAAAGGGCTTTTCTGACTACACTGGGTGTGTACCGAGAGTTCCTTTATGCGTCAAGGTCATAAACAAATAACAAATTATGCAACAGAGCCTCCCAAGTTCTTGTCTTTCTGCTTCCCGACCCGGGGAGCCCTTTCTTGCAGCCTGGGGAGCTTGGGGAGAAAATGGGGAAGCCCGCTGCTGGCAGCACATCAAATGCAGAAACTAGGCCACTCAGCACCAGATGGTTCCCAGGCCCTGCTGCCATTCGAAGCTTCTACTTTAATTCACCCGAGGATGGAACTCTGGCGTTTTGAAGTCACACTGCCAAAGCTTTTGTTGATTAAGAAGTGGGATGTGGGACTTCAAAGCAGTGTCAAACCTCACTCAGAAAAACAGGAAGGAGCTCAGGACATTTGCTATCCTCTCTCTATATATTTTGAAGGCCCTCTCTGCAAGCCTGAGGGTTATTATTATTTTCAGCATGAGAATGACCCTGTAAAAATGGTTCTTTGCTTTTATAGATGTCAAGTGGAATGACACTTGCCTTGGAATTTAATTGTGCACTCAGAATTGCAGCAGTAAGCCAACTCTAGCAAAGGTGGGTTTATTCTAAAGGTCATTGTATGATTTTAAAACATTCACATTCCTTTTTCTTAAATTTCTCCAATTTTAAACTTTTCCCTTAAATATTACGCAAGTGACTTTTACCTTGGTTTTGCAAGGAGTATTCTTAGAGATCACACTGTCAGTTTCAGTTCCAATGGCTTCTTCTAAACCTTCATCAAGGAAGATACAGTAGATAAGATGGAAAAAAAAACATAAAACATAAAGAAAACATAAACATAAAACATTAAAAAAATCCTTAAGAAAAACAAAAAGTCCATTTTGGTAACTATAGGGATACTCTTACTAGAGAAAAATAGAGAGGTCCATGTGTTTTAAAACAGCTCCTCTTCAACTTTTTTTGCAGCATTTCACCATTACCCGTGGCACTCGGCCTGCATTAGCTCTGCCTCATTCACGTTGTTAAAAGGATTGTCCAGCCCCACAGCTAAAAATGTTGAGGCTCTGAGCTGAATTTTAAGCAATAGTGACATTTGTCCCAACCTGTACTCTGTTCCACCTGGCCTTCAAGGGACCAGAGGAAACAGGTATGTGAGGACTGCTGGCCAGGTTTGGGCATCTCTTAGTCCAAAGACAGTGACCATATTACAAATAACTTGGGGCTAACTCTCAACTTTCCAATATTAATGATTTATTTTGTATACTGCACTGTCCTGGCTTATCAGCCTTATCCCAACCCCAAGAGGCTGAGAGAGAGCAGAGAAGTAAAATCTTAAAAATATAACTAAAAGCTCCAACATCTGACAGTACTTCATGTTTTTCAGTATGGCTTTACACAGCTCCTTACTTAGCTAATCTCAATTTATGAAAAATAAATTAACCTAATTATTTAATGTGTATGCTCAGTCACTCAATCTTGTCCAACTCTTTGTGATCCCATGGACGGTAGCCCACCAGGCTCCTCTGTCCATGGGGATTCTCCAGGCAAGAATACTGGAGTAATTGCCATTTCCTAATTCAGGGCATCTTCCCAACCCAGGGATTGAACCCACATCTCTCGGGTCTCCCACATTGGGAGGTGGATTCTTAACCACTAGCACCACCTGGGAAGCCCAACCTCATTATTTAATAGGGGTCAACAAAAGATTAATTCCTATGACAGGCTATAATTCTGAATGATGAACAAATCCTCAAAAATGGAATTGCAATAAGTGAAGCACAAAGTCAAATGAGTCAGGGTGTAGCAAATAACTGTTCACCTATAGCCTATACGTTTTATTAGCAACATTTCAAGCATTTTCAGACTCTTATGCTGCAGCATCTGTGGTTTGTGCAATTATTTTTTAAAAGTGAAAGTAAATGATAATGTAAATTTATTTACAGTCATTTCCACCCTCCTTCACTTCTACCATGGACAGCAAGATGCACTATAATGTATGACCAGGATGGAGGTGTGGGGGGCATCTTATTTAAAGATCTGTGGACAGACCTGTTAGAATACCATCAAGCTGTTCCACCATAAACTTGGCATCTTCCTCAGTGAAGCACATAGGTGGTTTTATTTTAAGCACGTTTCTATGAGGTCCGTCGGCACTGAGAAGCACTCGCTTTTCTTTCATCCTAATTAGTGCAGGAAATACATGTGAGTGCATACAAGCAATAACTAAGATGATTTCAGAATGATATGAACAGACAGCAATTTAGCATATGCATGTAAGAAGTCACGTTTGTAATTGCATGAGTCTTAAACTTTCCTTATTTAGGGAGAAGAGAGAAAGTAAAAACATTCAAGTGGGTGGACATCTTTTAAGCTGAGATACCAAACAGGTGAGAGGTGGTTTACTTGTAGATGACGTGCTGAGCTTCTGCTGTGGCGGGGGTCCTTTGCTGATGGTCCTTCACTAAGTCAATCCCAATAAAAAGGCCAACGCCCCTGAGGGAGACAGAAAGGAAACCTGACATACACTCTATCAAGCACCACATTGTCACAAAAAATTAACACAGTCGTCAAACTTCAGTTTGATTTGAGGCTGAATGTGAGTCTCTTTAGAGGTAGTTGTAACTAGTTCTAATTAATCCATGATATCAATCCAGGGTCCACAGGACTCCTTAGTTTCTGAAGTTAGTTTTTGTAATCCAGTTTTTTTTTCTCACCACATAATTGCAAAAAAAAAAAAAAAAGGCTTAAAAACAACCTTATACTATTTAGTTTCATATGACATCAATGATGATAAATACATATATGAAAAATAGTGATTTTCTTAGATGTCATTTAAATTTTTTTTAATAGATCATATAGAGTTACTTTAAGTTTCTTCTTTTCATCATCTAGCTATTGAAATTATCCTGGCTTAATTTTTTTTTTTTTAAAGTGTAAGTCAGGAAAGATATATACCCAAAAGTTAATAGTGATACATCTGGTTCTGAATGAAAAAAGTTTTTTCAGTGTTTTCTAGATTTGATTTTGTGTAATTTATTTTAAATTTATAAGATAAAATATAACCAATATTCATTTGGACATATGGATAACTACAATTCCTTGATAAATATACCTGATATCTCCTATCAAAGTGTGTTTAGTCTTCTGCTTATTCAGTAACTCAGTAAGATAATTCCCTACTCTTGTGGCATTTCCTTGAAGGTCTTCATTTTTTATTACATCCAGGACGGCCAAACCAACAGCAGAAGATACTGGATTTCCTCCATACTGCAGAAAAAAAATAAATGAGAAAACAGACTAGTTGAATTCATGCTGTTGCTTCACCTATGAGAAATTTGGCTCATATTTAAGTAAAGATATAATTTCAATAAAATTTTCCCTTGTGATATTAGCTTTTTAAGTTTAGAATATAGTGTGATTCTATTCATTTAGGATTGAGAATACAATTCTAAATTATATATATGCTACATAACTGGTATGAAGGACTACTGGGGAATCTATAAATTCATCCAAACCAAACACAGATATTGTGTTGGGAATTAAGGATTTCAGAGTGTGGTTTAGTTACAGGGATGTGAATTGCAGCACTTGAATATATGTGTGAAAAAATGCCAAAAAATGACATTTTCTCCAAGTAATTTGTGTTCCTGGATTTTGATTCTGACTTTTAGCTGCAACAAGTCTTATTACACATATTGCACAAACTATAACAGTCTTTCCAAACCTGAGAATCTTACAACTTTTGGGGGCAAAATCAAGGAAGTAAAATTTCCCAAAGATAGAAATTTAATTAGTATCTCCTATGACAGCCATATAATATTTATAGTATTGAATCATCTATACACTTCATATCATACACAGATATGATACATACACAGATCATATCATCTATTAATGAAATATCATAACCTCTAGAGTTTACCAGGGCAGACATCTATCACTGAAACAATCAATAGGAACACTTTAGGAAAGGGAAAGATACAAGAAAAAATACAAGGAGGATTGTGCCAAACAGAATGAAATATGGTTAGATCAAAGTCTGGCTTTCGTTCTGGGGTCATTATCTGGCAACAGTGAGATTTATTCTTTATTATATTGGAAAGAAATGTAAGAACACCAGTATTTTTCCCTCTTAGCATTAAAGTGATAGGTCAAAATTTACCGTGTTGAAATACTCCATCCCAGAGGCACTGAAGGCTTCTGCAATTTCTTCGGTTGTTACCACGCATGCCATTGGGTGCCCATTGCCCATTGGTTTTCCCATTGTGACTATGTCTGGAACGAAGTCTTCACCAAACATTTGGAAACTCCAGAAATGTTTCCCAACTCGGCCAAAGCCTACTTGAACTTCATCAGCTATAAACACACCTCCTGCTCCACGGACATATCTGAAAAGCAAAAGAGCAGCATGATGCCTTCAGGTCACTGAAAGCCCCCATATCCTCCCTTCAAGAAACGGATTATTGAGGACTACAAAAGAATGGTGTTAACCTGAAGTCTGTAATCTCTGCTAAAAACGTTTCAGTGCTCAAATCCCCAATGACATCTATGTGATGTCATTGACTTTGAAATATAATCACGTCATTTCCAGATAAGATATAGTCTATGTTGTTTGGGTGTGTGCTGCTTAAAGTAAGCTCTACTGCAGTATTTTAAGTGGCAAGAGAAAAAAGTGAACAAAAAGTAACGTTAGCAGAGTTAATCTTATCAGTAAACCTTGGACACCAATCAATCAGAGAGGATGCCAGGTGGGTAAAGTGGGGCATAGCCCTCAAGGACCCCCGGCTAGACTGTGTGCAAACCCTTTATTAGCTGGGATCTTGGAAGGTGAGGAGTTCCAGGAGTCCTGGGAGGCAGGCACTCCCAAGTAGCTATTTACCAGCTCGTCCCTGGTGGCTCAGCAGTAAAGAATCTGCTTGCCAGTGGAGGAGACTTGAGTTCAATCCCTGGGTTGGGAAGATCCCCTCGAGAAGGAAATGACAACCCACTCCAGGATTCTTGTCTGGGAAATCCCATGGACAGAGGAGCTTGGTGGGCTACAGTTGGTCGCAAAAAAAGTCTGACATGACTCAGCTACTAAACATCAATGGGAAGTACTTCCATACTTCGCCAACAACCAGATGACCCTGCGGAACTGTCATGGTTCCTTCAGTCTGACCAAAGATGCCCAAGTACATACTCTGCCACTTTCTGGAAGTAGCCTGCTGGAGGAATTATTTGTCCGCCACAACTCTGCATGGATTCAGCAATAAAGGCAGCAATCTATACAAGAGAAGATGGGGTCAAAGTCCATTCGGTCCCCCTCCCATACCCCCTAAAAAAAGAGGACTTCTTATAGAGCGACTGATTTAAACATGGTTGAGAATGGACCCCTGGCAAGAGGCAAATTGGCTATTTGATTAAAAAGAAAAGATGTTCACGCTGGAAAAGCAAGTGATCTGAAGCATTAGTTTCTGAAATTTTAGGTTTCTTATGAAACTACCACTAGAAATGGTGGAAAAGGTGCTTTCCATCTCTCCATAATTAATTTAAATGCAGGATTTGCATTAGGATCAACTGAGTAAGACTGATATCTTGATCAGTCTTTGATATGAGCCTCTACAAAATTACGCAGGTTCCAAACATATCACTGTAATTCCTATTTACTCAACTTGTTGAATTAGGACTGCCTGAGTCTGGAATTTGCACCAGGAAGGTGAGAAGGTGACTTGTGGTCACAGACCTTAGTGACTGTGCTCTCTTTCTGGTTCTTGCCCTGAACCAGGCTTACAACTTAACCAACGTAGGCAATTCACAATAAAACTGCAAAGGAAATGTTCTAGAGGCTAAGAAAGGAGAAGAAAAAAATCACTAAATTAAGAGAAAGCATGGAAATAGTATGAGATAAGAAGTTAAGCCATCAACTATACTTCAATTAAAAACAAACAAGGGAACCAAGTCATTAAGATAAAAATACTTGAATGGGAAAACACAAAGGCTTCATTTTTCTCTCAATTAAGAAGTTTTTAAAATTGCCATATTGATGCCATAAATCAATTTAAAGGCAAAACATATGTCAAATCACATTAAAACTCCATGTAAGTAACCCCTGCAGTGGTTGAGAATTTAACATTAAGCTGAAGGTGGAAGACAGTAGGGTGAAGACTGAGAAAATGAAAGCTCTTCCTACTCAGTAGGATTCTGGTTTGTTTTAGAAGTGCAGACCCAGGATGTCCTTGGCAGTCCAGTGGTTGGGACTTCCAATACAGGGAGTGAGGGTTCGATCCCCAGGGAGGGAGCTAAGATTCCACACGCTTTTCAGCCAAACAAAACAAAATAAAACACCAAAACATGAAACAGAAGAAATAGTGTAATAAATTCAATGAATATTTTTTTTAAAAAGGTGCAGAAACAGACTGGAAGAGCCTTTTCCTGCCTGGTCTTACCCAGGCTCAGCACCTTTAGGAAAGCTGAACCAATTCTAGGGAAAGCCAAGGCTCCCAAGGTCCAGGAGCCTGCATTGATCCCGAGGCCCTGGGGCTCCCCTGCCTCTTCCCCTCCGTTCACCTTCTGTCAGCCCCTCATGTTACTCTCATTTGGAACGTTCTGTCCATGGGCTATCACCTTTCTTAATTCTCTCCTCCTAACCCTTTGCGCCAGAGTCTGCATCCCACTGGGAAGGTTAGAACTAGACCACCAGTTCTGAAACAGGTACAGTAATTACATTTCCAGGATAAATAAAAATAGTCTTAGAGGCATGACTATAATAATGCATTTTTTGATATATGAACTAAGTGAAAATGTAACTGGAGAAGAACAGAAAGGATTTGCTGTCTAATCCTTTCCCACCTCTCTAGTGTATCATGATGATTTCAATCTATTTTATGAAAGATGTTAACGTGTTTCCAAAGCTGTAAATACAAACCTTCCTTCCGCTGTTATGAGCTTCATCAATAATTTTCTTCACTTCATCTGCATAAGCACTGGCTGGGTCTTCATGGTCTTCTCTGTATTTTCCTCTATAAGTATCTGGAGCTGGTGCCTGAAAACATCAAGAGATAACAGTTTCTCATGATTTTTGTCCTGGACAAATGAGCTTTTAAGAAAGGGTATTTCCCCACAAGAGCATAATAGAAAGGTGACCTATGGATTTACGTGACTCTAGGTTCTTCTCCTCTTTTTCCTTAACATTTCTGAATTCTGTGACACTTGAAATCCTTGCATTGTGAACAGGAGCTTGGATTTACTTCTAGGCTTCTTGGAAGTCAAAATTGCATCCCTGATCACATAAGGGGTGAATTCAAACAACAAATGTGATTATGTTATTTGAAAATCTCAATGAATGGAAACTGTATTAACTATTCTATGTCAAAAATAGGGACCTCCCTGGTGGTCCAGTGTTTAAGACTCTGAGCTTCCAAAGCAGGCGGTGTGGGTTCGATCTCTGGTAGGGGAACTAAGATCCCATGTGCTGTCTGGTGAGGGCAAGAAATATTTTTAAAAAAGAAGAAGGAAATAAACTAGTACTTACCAACTACATAGCAAATTGTAATCATTCAGAAAGCCAGAGTATTTTAGCAGTACTTTCAGATCTTAAAATTTTGAAAGAATGTATTCATGACTCTCTTAAAAAATGTCCACTGATCCTTAATTAAGCCAAATGAGTTTTACTGCTTCAACAACTTGGTTTCTTTATTTTCTTTCATTTAACATTTATTTGACTTAATAAATTTACCTAATAATTAAGCATAGAGTAATTTTAAGACAGTCATACACACCTGATACAACTTTGAGTTTCAAGTCGGCTTCAGTGACAGAAAAAGTAATTGAAGATCCAGGGGCAAGAAAAATAAAGTAAGAGCTGTGAATAACAGCTGTCACTACCACTATACTGATTTGTATGGTACTTATCAATGGATTTTAACACACATCTTGTCATTAACTAGCTCTTTGACTTTTAGCAAGTCATATAGCAGCTCTATATCTTAGTTTCCTTTCTCATGGTTTCATTTCAATGCAAAGATTGGTCTGGATTATCACTGGGCACTCTTCCAGTAGTAACATTCTGATTCTTGAATTCCAAGATACTTACCACATGCACAAATTCTTTCTTGACATCTTTGCCCTTTTGAAATTTATATGGACTGATCTCAATTAAAGATGATAGGTGACCATGGTAAGCACTGAAACAAAAAGAAATGGTAACCAACATCATTCAAAAAAGGATGCTCTTCCAGGATATGAAAAATAGTATTGCGTATCATCCAGGGAGAATCTCAACACTGGTGCCAGATTTAACTATATGGAATCCAATTTTTCATGGTAGGACCAGCCATTAATTTGTTCAGCTTTCCTGATTCAGGCAATAAAACACATACAAAGCCAAGTATGTATCCTTGCAGGCAGTTTTCAGCCAGAAAAAACTTAATTTCTTTGGATTGTATTAGCTCTGCTAAATTAGATTGAGTGTAAAATATTATTTTCTAAAGTTTCATTAGAAATATCAGATGTATGTATTCTTTAAATGTATTTTATAGTTATATTCTAGTAAATTTTAAAAACAAATTTATATTATAAAATGGGCTGTATTTCTGTTTAGGATGGTTTCTAAAGGATGTCCAATAGCACATCTTGAACAAATGCAAGCTGGTAAGGAATAGGAGGTTTTTTCAAAAAGAACTAAGGATGAGAGGTGATCAACCTTAGTTCTTCCTAAGGTTATGAAATTCCTTTCTTTCACTTAAAATACAGGTGGCTATGATATTCCCCTTAATGTTTTTTGCTTCCCAGATATATATAATCAGGAGGCTGGAAATTGTAAGGGCTTCCCAGGTGGTGCTAGTGGTAAAGAATCTGCCTGTTAATGCGGGAGATGTAAGAGACAGGGGTTTGATCCCTGGGTTGGGAAGATCCCCTGGAGGAGGAAATGGGAACCCACTCCAGTATTCTTGTCTGGAGAAGCCCCATGACTAAGTGTCTGAGCACATGCACACACACAGTAGATCAAATGCTGATATCTCTCTTTCTGTACCAGCACATAACAGGCTCTGTCTCTCTCTGGAAATTATAAAAGGCCTATGAATAGATAAAGCAAAGAAGGAGTACTTCCTCTACCATAGATTAAAACATCCTACAAAGCAATAGCAATGAAATTAGCATGGTATTGGAATAAGAACAAAGTTAAAATGACTGGGACAGAAGCAAGCTCAGCCATTCGTAAATGGTAACACAGTGGCCTCTAGATGGAGTTAATTGAGTGAGGAGCAGTTACAGACATGGTAGAAGAAAATGAAGAGCATCTTTGTGATCTGAGGGATGGTGATGGGTATGTATAAGGGTAAAGACTTTAACAAAACTTAGAAAACCAAACCACAGGATGAAAATGCAAACTATTTGATTCAATCAAAATTTTTTTGGTAGATGGATGCCATGGACAAAGTTAAGAGGCAGGTTTTAGATTGGAAAAAAATATTTGTAATGTCTCAAATAAAAGAGGCTAACTTCCAAAATGGTCTGTTTGCATATAAGAATCACTTGGGAAACTTGGTTTCCTGGACTCTACCTCTAGAGACTCTCTTTAACTGGTCTGGGATGGGGCCTGGGCATTGGCACTCTAAAAAGAACATTTCCCCACTGCAGTATTCGTGCCCAGAGAACCCCATGGACTAAAGGGCCTGGGGGTCTATGATCTATGTGGTTACAACTTAGCGACTACACCACAACAACCATAACAACAAACCCACAATCAGGCAGATTATGATTCAGGGAAATACCTTTTCATGAAAATGTGGCATAAAATGGAGAATGAAGATACCTAGCAACGTGGAATGTAGAGTTTTGTAAGAAATTAAAATGTGAGTATAGAATAATAGGTGTTAATATTCAAACAATAAAGTCCATGGCTAAAGGAAAAAAAAATAAAAAGAACATTTCCTCAGGTATTTCTAAAACACAGTCTAGGCTGAGATCCTCTCATCCAGTCTACGCATGCAAGCACAAAAACAAGGATGGGAATCTCAACAGAAAAACTGGGTAAAGAATATAAGCAGACAATTCTCAGAAAAAAAGTGAGTCAGTCGCTTAGTTGTGTCTGACTCTTTGCAACCCCATGGACTGTAGCCCGCCAGGCTCCTCTGTCCAGGGGATTCTCCAGGCAAGAATACTGGAGTGGGTTGCCATTTCTTTCTCCAAGGGATCTTCCTAATCCAGGGATAGAACCTGGGCCTCCCTCATTGCAGGCATATTCTTTACCATCTGAGCCACCAGTGAAGCTAATTCTCAGAAAGCAGTCACAAATGTATAATAAGTATATGAAGAGAAACTCAATCTCATAATTAGAAAATTGCAAATAAAAACAACATTGATATTATTTTATACTTATTAGACCAGCAACTATTAAAGGAAAACAAGGCACAGTACTCTAAGGTTTTGCCCAGGATATGGGGAAATGGAACATTTCATGAACTGGGTAGAGAGTTTCAACCACTCTGGAGACCGACCTGGCAGCATGTAGTCAAATCAATAATGTTTACAGCACTCCTATGGCCTAGCAATCCTGTTTCTGGGTGCTTATTCCTAAGCGATCTTCAGAAAGGTCCACAAAGGCACATGTCTGAGGGTGCTTACTGCAGTGCTGCCTGTGGTAACTGGGCATAGTGTCCATTCTGTGATAGGCAGCTTCATGCCTGCTCTCCCCAAAGATGCCCACGTTCTAATCCTCAGAACCTGAGAATATGCTACATGGCAAAGGGAACCTTGCAAATGTGATTAAGCATCCTGAAATGGAGTGATAATCCTGGAGGGTCCAATGTTATTACAAGAGTCTTTATAAGTGAAAGAAGGCGGCAGGGGGATGGTGGTCAGAGAAAGGGATGTGACGGAAGCAGAGGCTGGAGTGATGGCATGACTGGCTCTGAGGGTGAATGAAGGGACCCAAAGCCAAGGAAGGCAGGCAGCCTCTAGAAGCTGGAGGCAAAGCAACACATTTTCCCCTAGGGTCTCTAGGATTGCAGCCCTATTGCCACCTAACCTTTAGCCCAGTGAGGCCCAGTTTGGACATCCAACCTCCAGAACTATAAGAGAATAAATTCATGTTGCTTAAACCACTATGTTTGTGATAATTTGCTACAGTAACAATAGAGAATGAATACATCAACCAACACACAAAACAAGACAAGCCTATAGATGGGCAAGAAATAAGGTGCATGTTCAGTTCAACCTTCTGTGTGTGAGATTAGTGGGGTGGGGAGGCAGAAACAATTTTTAAAAATCTCAGTTAAACTAGAAGTTGTCAAATTTCTTCTTCAAATTGTAAAGAATTTAGGATTTCTCTGGCAGTACAGTGGGTAAGACTTCTGCTCCCAATGCAGGGAGTCTGGGTTTGATTTCTGGTGGGGGAACTAAGATCCTGCATGCTTTACAATGTGGCCAAAAAAACCTTTTTTTTTTTAACTTGGCTGCTTGTAGTCATTAAAATTTGCTCTAAATCACACTCTTTTAAATTAATTACAGTGGATAATCACATTGCAGTGGCTCAATAAATAGTTAATGTGTGAAAGTAAATTCTAATTCATACAAAGGCCATGAGACCATGACCACAGGACCCAAAAGAGCCTCCAGGTGCTTGGAAAGAATTAAGTGTTCTCTAGGCCTGAGTTGGCCTTGAAATCTTAAACATAATAAAAAAAAATCCTTGTGGCATCCATCCAGCCTCCTCTGTACATACTTCTGGTATCAGTGTAGATAGGATCAATGTGTTTTCATCTCTGAAGGACTTTCCTGCTGAGAAGTTTCGTGTCTAAGACTTACTGGAAACATGTATATTATCAAGTGTGAAACAGATCTCCAGTCCTGGTTTGATGAATGAGACAAGTGCTCAGGGCTGGTGCTATAGGACGACCCAGAGGGATGGGATGGGGAGGGAGGTGGGAAGGGTTTTAGGATGGGGAACATATGTAAATCCATGGCTGATTCATATCAATGTATGGCCAAAACCACTACAATATTGTAAAGTAATTAGCTTCCAACTAATATAAATAAATGAAAAAAAAAAGACTTACTGGTCAAGAGTGATCACATCTTGGTGGCCTCTGAACTGCCGAGCCAGGCGTAAGGCTAAGTCATTGGCTTCCGATCTATTAAGACAGCAGAGAGAAAGGAACAATGTGACAATGTGTTTTAAAACAATGTGTTTTAAGCTCTTTTAAAATCTTTTGAAATCTATTTTCAAAGTTGAGGATTTCAACTACAGAGAACTGTATAAATAAATAAGTTGAGGTCCTCTCTTTCCCCTCAGTCTTGCCCAACCAGCCATCTCACGTCATCCTCCTAAGTTCCCCAGATGTCTTCAAAAAAGAATGAGACGCACGAGGAAACTCAGCACAAATTAAGGATATTCTGCTTGTTTCAAACTCTGGCCCAGTTCAGCCACATCATAGGTGACTAACTTTGAGGAGCCCAAGAAACCTGTATTAAATGTGATCTCAGTGGGAGGAATCGGAGTCTAAGGTCCCACTAACTGGCGGGCCACTGAACTGTGTTGTGCTGACCTAATACTTGATTAGTTTCTTATCTGTAAAATGAAGATTAGGGCTTCCCTGGTGGTTCAATGGTAAAGAATCCTCCTGCCAATGAAAGAGACAGGGGTTCAACCCCTGGCCTGGGAAGATCCCACATGCTAAAGAGCAGCTAAGCCCATGGGCCAGTACTGCTGAGCCCACTTGCTGAAACTACTGAAGTCTGGGTACCGAGAGCTCATGCTATGCAACAGGAGAAGCCACTACAATGAGAAGCCTGCATACCACAACTAGAGAGTAGCCCCTGCTCACTTCAACTAGAGAAAAGTCCAAGCAGCAACAAAGGCCCAGCACAGCCAAAAATAAATAGATCAACAGATAAACGAGACTTTAAAAAATGAAGATCGTAATCCTTCTATCTGGTGTAGAGAGTCTAGATATACTACTCAGACACAGGTGGAAAAGTAATCATTTGTGGAATGTTTATAATGTGCCAAGTATTATATTGTTTTACTTATATTGATCCTCATAACTACTCTTCAAGGCAAGTATTGTCATCTTTTTATGGATGAAGCCTCAGAGAGGTTAAGTAACAAGAATAAGTTCTCACAGCTAAGAAGAGGTAGAGCCAGTGTTGACTGAAGCCTGTTTAACTTCAAGATTATTCTTTGTATTAATGCTATTCCAGGCTCTGTCACGTCCAGTCTTTGGTGACACTGCTCTTTAAGACTAATCATTCTTTGACAGCATAGGATTCTTTGGAAGGGAAAGTCAAATACTGTACCATTTAATTCGCTGAAGGCAAGAATGCTTTAAGACAACAAATTAGATCCTAAAATGCCTTAATTCTTTACAAAGAAAAAAAAAGAGAACAAATTTCTGCTTATAAATTGGGTTTTAAAATACCTCATCGAAAAAAGAAGTGTGGAATTCCCCTGGCTGTCCAATGGTTAGGGCTCCGAGTTTCTACTGCAGGGGGCTGGGTTCAATCCCTGGTGGGGAACTAAGATTCCACAAGCCTCAGGCATGGCCAAAAAGAAGAAAAGGAATCACAGACTTTCTTATAGTTCTAGTATATATGTATGTGTATATCATTTTAAAATAAGAGTTTGTGCTGTATAGACAGCTTTCCTCCCAATAGGCGAGCTTTTCACCTGTCTTTAAACATGTACTTACTTTCAAAAGCATACTTTTTTTTTTTTTGCTGCACTTCCCAGCTTATGGGATCTTAGTTCCCTGACCAGGAATCAAACGCAGGCTCTCTGAAGTGGAAGCTTGAAGTCCTAACCACCGGGCTGCCAGGGAGTTCCCCCCAAAACTTTTTAATGTCTGCATAATTTTCCACAGAATGGGACATAACCATTTGAATTTATGGAATTTAAAAGTTGTAACATATCTTTTCACTTGAATTTATCCCTTCCTCCTTTGTGTTTGTGCTGGGGAAATGTTCAGCGATCCCTACTGGGGCAGCTTTCCCATCTTTCCCCAAAGTAGCATGGTAGTGAAAAGTCTTGAGTGACACGCACATGTTCAACATGAGACTGCGATTACAGGCTGCATCAAGAGCCTTAGAACACAATGTCAGGTATCTTATCTACAAGGAGCTGGTGGGCCCAAGTGAAAGAACCAGGAGGTCAGGTCCCCCACGCAAGGTCAATAGTAAGAGTCTCAGGAAGCCTGTTTACATATTCCTACTCCACCAGCAATAAAAAAAAGAAAAGACGAGTGAGAGAGGAAACAAAGAGATTCATGGGAATGCGGATAGCTGGAAAAACCTTGACACCTACCCTGAATTTGTAAAATAGCAAACAGAGAGTCTGTCCGGCAGGGTTGCTGAGAGGCGCTTGGCATATTCAACAATGTTGTCGTGGAGGAATCGAGAATTTGTATTTAGTAGTTCCATCTGTTTCTGGGCAGCTTTGACCACTTCTGGGTGGCAGTGTCCCACTAAAATTTAGGAGACAAAAGTCCTCAAAATAAGTTACAATTCGAAATGCCTGGGAAGTGAGGCAGATTCTGAATCAAAAAAAAAAGAAAAGTTGATCCTGTTCCTCTCCCACATTTTGTTCTAGCTTTTCCCAGCCTAGGACTAAGGGCCCTGTTCAGCCGAGGAACTGCGGCCACTGCAAATCCTGGGGCAAATATTAATGGTGCCAAGGCTGCCTTAATCCATAAACGTATCCTTTAAGGCACAACAAAGACAACACATTACCATGGGCAACGTTGTTGATGCAATCCAAGTACTGGTCGCCTTTCTCGTCAAACATGTACTGCCGCTGCGCTCGCACTATTTTGATGGGATCCGCAGCAAAGAAAACTTTGCATGAAGGCCTAGAAGTAAGGAAAGGAAACACTTTGGTCTGGTAGGACTGCTCAGCATTTGCCCTTCTCAATCAAGGTCACGATGAGTGGAAAATTACAATTACATAAAAGAAAGGGAAAACACAACCTAGGTGACATACTGTTTTTTTCATTTCATATTAGCCTGGAAACTTTGACCTTGATCCTCCATCCATGACACTGCTCACATTTCTTATGCTTGTTATATTAAATTTGCCACGATCTGACAATGCTACTTATAGGTACATGGATCAACTCTGACAGCTCTAATTACACAAACCAATAACTAATTTTCCTTTAGGAAATTTTGTTCAACTAGGGAAAAAAAATCAATTTTTTGAGTCTTCCTATATATTAAAAACTGATAGCTATTACAAATATTATCTCATTTAATCCTTCCAACAATATAATAGGAGTTATTATCATTCTCACTTTTATAGGTGAGAAAACAGGCACAGAAAAATTAAGAAGCTTGGTTCAAGCCAATAAAAGAGAAAACCAGAATTTGAAAGTAGATTTTTGTCTTGATTGTAACTAGATTTACCACGGTGACCATTTTGAAATGCTTGGAAGTATTGAATCATTATGTTGCATAGTAGGAATTAACATAGTGTTGTAGGTGAATTATACTTCAAAAATAAACTCATAGAAAAAAAGAGGTTACACTTCTTGGGAAGAGCTGGGAGGCAGGGAAATCAGATGAATATAGTCAAAAGGTGCAAACTCCCAGTTACAAGGTAAATAAGTACTATGGATATAATTTATATGTACAACATGATAAGGGCATCTTACCTTTTAACATGATTAATTATAACACTGCTGTATGTTTTATATGAAAGTTGTTAAGAAAGCAAATCCTAGGGGATCTTCTATTTCTTAAATTTTGTATTAATGGAATGATGGATGTTCACCAAACTTAACTGTGATAGTCATTTCATGATGTAAGTCAAATAGTTATGCTGCAAAACTCAAACTTAATACAGTGCTGTATGTCAATTACATACCAATAAAATTGGAAGAAAAAAAAGACTGTCTTATGCCATTGCCCAAAATAGAGCTTGCTTGTCATGTAATCTCTCCCTCAAACCTACTTGTAAAGCTACTACAAATAACTTAGTGTTAAATAGTGTGCAAGAGATTTTACAGATCATTTTCATGTCTTTTAACTGGTTCCTGTTCTACAGCAAATGGATTTTCCATTCTTAAACAGTACGATCCAATTATTATTCTAACTCTTAAACCCACTCTTTCGAGTCTAATAAAATGTCATCCCTATTTATGGTTACTTGGATGGCTGTCTGGAGTACAAGTTTTAGCAACATGAAAACATTACAAACGTTTCTGATCTTGGATCCATGGATGTTTAGAAACTAAACAAAATATATTATTATTATTTACATTTATTTATTTATTTTATTTTTGACACGCCATGAGGAAATGTGCGATCCTAGTTCTCCAACCAGGGATTGAACCCAAGCTCCCTGCATTTGAAGCAAGGAGTCCTAATTACTGGACCACCAGAAAAGCTCCCAAAATATAGTTTTATTTTGGTGGCTTTGTGTACACAGAAAACATGTTCCCAGGTGCATTGGAGGTAGTTTAGAGGGAAAATAGTTACATATTATATTGATACACAATAGTTTAGAAAGTACTGTAATTATTGTGAATAAGTAATGAAATGTTAAAAATGCCTAAAATTAAGTGTCATCAGCTAAAATGAAACTAATAATGAGAATTTCTTCTTGGTTCAAATTCAGTTGTTAGTTTATTAACTACAAGTTAAAATCCAGAAAAATTCTTCCTTATGAATGTGGGCTGAAAACTGTGGACTTGACCTTGCCTCTTTGTTAATGTACTTCCCACCTTGCCACTCAGATTTTCATAGAAGAGGAATTTAATGTGACAGAGATCACAAGGTAACTTGACACTCTACTAGGACCAGAGCCCAGGTCTGACTTCAGTATGGGTCCTGTACACTCACTCACCAAGTTGTTTATACTATTGATGTGAGCAAAACGAAAATAGACCCGAGAGAACCCTGCATCTTTACGTTGTAGTGCGGGCACATCTGGGGAGACCAAGGTGAGTAAGGGCATCTTACCCTTTAAAAAAGTGTCTACGATTCCCGCCCCCCCCCTCCCCGCCCCCGACTCCACTGGCTAGATTAACCTTTTACTTCTTAACCAAGCGTGCAAGAAGGAAGAGTTCGCTTTCAACAAAAGTTGTCAGAATGAGTTTTCATAGCCATCGTCAAAAATATTTCAGAGTTCACAGTTAATGGAAAACCTTCGAGTAGGTGGGAGTGGCGGAGAACTGCCCTTCTCCCTTCCAGAGCCCATCCCTGGAACGGTGTTCTTCAGTGGCTATCAACCCCCACGGTCAAGGCCCCCAGCCGGCCCGCAGCCCTCATCCTCTCCGCGGGCTGCAGAGCGCGGGGATCACCCGGGACCCCCTGCAAGGGAGCCCCCTCGGGCGCGGCGGGGCGCTCGGGGCGCGCGGCGGCGCGTGCACGCAGGTGCGGCGGGCCAGGGGCAGGTCCCGCTCCCCGCGGGACCCCAGCTAGCCGGCTGCCTGCGCTGGTGACCTGGCGATTCCCACTCTCTGCGCCTCCCGTCTGGGCTGGGGAGCCCTTACCCGATGTGCCTTCTCCTCAGCGCCAGCGTCTCTTGCTTGCTGTACAGTTCGCACATGGTGGCGGGGTGCCGGGCGCCCCCAGGGTCTCCCCTCTCTAGCCCCTGCGCCCGCGTCCGGAGCCCGCGGGCTGCCCCCGCGGCGGCCCTGCCCGGTTTCCCCGCGTTGGGTCCCCTGGCCCCGGGCGTCGGAGGTCGCGGTCGGTGTCAGCCAGTAGGGTCATCTCCCTTTTAAGCCTTGCCCCGCCTTTGCCCTTCGCCAAGCCCCACCCTCCTCCGCCCCTCCTCCGCCGGGTGCCCGCCTGGCGAGAGCCTGGGCTCGCCACTCAGTCGCCACCCCCACCCGCCCCCGCTCTTGCCCCGGGGTAACTCGCTCCCTTCCTGCCCTGCTGCCCGCTTCCCCTTCCCACTCTTGTTACTTCTTCTAACTCGCCTTTTATTTTTCTAAGTTTGCCTTGCCATGGCCTTTCCTCCTCCTCTGCCCATGAATTCCGTCCTTCCCACTCTCTTTTTAAAATATTTATTTATTTATTTGGCTGCACTGGGTCTTAGTTGTGGCATGCACGATCTGGGCCGGTTGCATTGAGAGCAGGGAGTCTTAGCCACTGGACCACCAGGGAAGACCTCCTCTCTTTTTTTTTCTTTCTTCTCTTTCTTCCCTCCCTTCTTCTTTGCTTTCTCCCTTTATTTGTACGCATTCAAAGATAGGCACTCTCTGGAGATAACAGGACTTTTGTCTCCATTCTCCTTTTGAGCAAGTTCCAATACCAATATCTGCTTAACAAGAGTAACAAGTCACCCGCCCAAAGGATAAATCACAGGAACTCAGCCTGTTATTTGTTGGGAGGGATAAACTATACCCCTGTTTCAAACACCTGCCTTAGAGATAATTGCACTTGTAGTTTCTCTGAAATGGTACAGATTATAAAACATTCACTTGATTTATCGGGTTCAGTTATCATAACAACCCTGAGGTAAGCCTGAGAGTTACCACCTTATTTAACATATGGGAACAGTTATTACAGGTCTACCTGATGGTGAACCTGAATTCATTCCTAGGTTTCTTGACTTCCTTTAGGATTCTCTTCTCTCACTGATCAAATTTAAAGTTAAATATGTGGACAGAAGGAAACCTAATTAACTATAACATTAAACCATAAACTATTTGAAGAAGTAGAGATCATCTGATTTATCCCCTGTGTTTTGTAGATAAGGACACCTAGGTACAGGAAAGGTAAAGTCTGATTATTCAAGGTCACACAACTGCTTAGCCATAGAGTTTAGATGAGATCATTTCATTCTTTGTGTTTCGAAAGACAGCAGAGAAAGCATATTTTACCAGTAAGAACATGCTTGATAAATGTTTGTAACCGACCTTTCTCTTGAATAAAGTTATTAATTAATATTAATGTCCTGCAGGATTAGTAGAGTTATTTCATTGCCTAAGATAGGTTGAGAAACGGAGTTCTATGCGGAAAAACGTGTTAAGAATTCTAGGTGTTATCAATGAAGGGGAGAAGACACTTAGGAAACTTGCAAGAAATCCCAGTCATGTCATCTTGGTCTTGTTCCACTCTTGACAGATATTGCCATGTGTACATCTACTCTTAAACCAGCTGGTGAAGCCACATACAGGCATGCTCCCTCCATAAACCTCCAGTTATTTCCAGTGCTTTAACGTATGTTCTTTAAATAAACAATCCTGGTCTTGAGTTCTTTTTTATTATTTATTTTGGCTGCCCTGCTGTAATGTGGGGGTCTTAGTTCCCCAACCAGGGATTAAACGCATGCACCCTGCAGTGGAAGCTTGGAGTCTTAACCACTGGACCGCCAGGGAAGTCCCTAGGGTCTTGGGTTCTTGAACTAGTTCTTGCATAAACTAGCTGGGTTTCTTGACCTCTTGGAGACCAAATTTCTTTAAAATGTTCAAATTTTGTATTAAAGGAAAAAACCCTCAATCATTCTTTAACAAAAAGCATTACAAGGAGGGCTAAAAAGAGATCATGATTTTGAAATGTGTGTTGGGATTAATTGTAAGGTCTCAATGCTCTTATATTCTTCGTTTTTTATTTTCTTTTTTTTTTTTTAACCAGAACTTTCAGCAGGGTTGGCTACTCCTTTCTTCTTGAAACTCTTCATTTTTTGATTTCTTGACATGACCACACATTCCTGATTTTCTTCTCTTGCTCAACATTCTCAACATTTAAATGTTGGTATCTCTGGGGATAGGGTCCTAGGCTTCCTCTTTGCTCTGCACTCTTTCCTCAGGTAATCCAGAAATGATTCCCTTGGATTTAGAAATCATTAAATATCAAAATTACATCTTCACTCAGGTTTCTCTCAGTCCCAGATTCTCATCTCCTCCTTCTTTCTTCCTTCCTGCCTCTCTCTCTTTCTCGTTTTTTTACTACCGAGTCCCATCCACTTCCTTTCTTGACATCTCCATTGTGAGTTCTCTTAGATACCTCCGACCAACTTGTCTGGACCAAGATGAATCCAAGATGGAAGCTTTGAACCCATCCCCGAAACTATGGCCTCCAATAAAGCCCCCATCACTAAGCATTTGTTCATTCATTTGTGATATATCAAATACTCTCTATGTGCCACTGAATGTTTGGCACAGAGAAACAGTGAACTAGACTGAACATTTCTGCCTTCCGTGCCTCCTAGCCTCCTAGTGCAGATTGGCAGTGTCCGTCCAGTACAGAGCCACTAGCCACAGGCGATTATTAAGGACTTGAACTGTGGCTAGTCTAACTTGAGATGTGTTGTTAGTGTAAAAGACACACCATAGTTTGAAGACTCAATATAAAAAGAATAGTAAAATCTCTCATTATTTCTGATTTTGTTTGCTTATTGAAATAATATTTTGGATTTATGGGATTAAGTAAAATATATCATGAAAATATATAGTGGTTAAGACTCAGTACTTCCATCACAGGGGACATGGGTTCAATCCGAGGTTGGGGAATTAAGATCCTGCATGGCGCATGGATATATATATATATATATATATATATATATATAAAATTTGAATTAAATATATATAATTTCACATCTTTTTAATGTGACTATTACCAAATTAAAATTTTAAAATTACCTATGTGCTTTGCATTACTTTTATTTTTTTGATTTTTTAAAAATTGAAGTATAATTGATTTACAATACTGTTATTTTCAGTTGTACAGAAAAGTGATTCAGTGATATGTATGTATATGCTTTATATATAAATATATTCTTTTTGGGATTCTTTTCCGTTACAGGTTATTACAAAATATTGACTGTAGTTCCCTGTTTCCCAGTTGGTCCTTGCTGGTTATCTATTTTACATATATGCTGTTGTTGCCAAGTCATGTCCGACTCTTTGCCACCCCATGGACTGGAGCCCATCAGGCTCCTCTGTCCATGGAATTTCCAGGCAAGAATACTGGAGTGTGTTGCCATTTCCTTCTCCAAATTTATACATACAATAATGTATATATGTTAATCCCAAACTCCTAATTTATCCCTCTTCTCCCTTTTCCCTTTGATAACCATAATTTTTTTTTTTCTGTCTGTGGGCCTGCCTCTTTCTGTTTTGTATACAAGTTCCTTTGTATCTTTTTAACATATAGGCAACATCACATGATATTTGTCTTTCTCTCTCTGGCTCACTTCACTCAGTATGATAATCTCTAGGTCCATCCATGTTGCTGCAGATGGCATTATTTCATTCTTTTTATGGCTGAGTTATATTCCATTGTATATATGTACTGCACCTTCTCTATCCATTCATTGATCAGGGGACATTGAGGTGCTTCCTTGTCTTGATTATTGTAAACAGTGCTGCTCTAAGCATTGGAGTGCATATATCTCTTTATGGTATATGCCCTGGAGTGGGATTGCTGGATAATGCATTACTTTTCACCTGGACAGTGTTATTCTTCCTGGACTCAGTAAGAAAGTAAACAAATCAAAAAGATAATGGCTTAAGAAGCTTTAATTGTGGTAAATGCTTTGAAGGAAATAAACTGAAGGAAATGATCCTAAGCCAGAAGACTAGGAGCCCTGGATAATCTTATCTTTTTCTCAACTCTGCCCTCCTGTCGAGTTATTTTTAGGTCCTGCTGCCTCCACTTTAAAATATAGCTTTACTGGAAATAGAACTGCCATATGACCCAGCAATCCCACTTCTGGGCATACACACCAAGGAAGCCAGATCTGAAAGAGACACGTGCACCCCAATGTTCATCGCAGCACTGTTTATAATAGCCAGGACATGGAAGCAACCCAGATGCCCATCAGCAGACGAATGGATGAGGAAGCTGTGGTACATATACACCATGGAATATTACTCAGCCATTAAAAAGAATTCATTTGAATCAGTTCTAATGAGATGGATGAAACTGGAGCCCATTATACAGAGCGAAGTAAGCCAGAAAGATAAAGACCATTACAGTATACTAACACATATATATGGAATTTAGAACGATGGTAACGATAACCCTATATGCAAAACAGAAAAAGAGAGTCAGATGTATAGAACAGACTTGTGGACTCTGGGAGAAGGCGAGGGTGGGATGTTTCAAGAGAACAGCATTGAAACATGTATATTATCTAGGGTGAAACAGATCACCAGCCCACGTTGGGTGCATGAGACAAGTGCTCGGGCCTGGTGCACTGGGAAGACCCAGAGGGATCGGGTGGAGAGGGAGGTGGGAGGGGGGACCAGGATGGGGAATACATGTAAATCCATGGCTAATTCATTTCAATGTATGACAAAAACTACTGTAATGATGTAAAGTAATTAGCCTCCATCTAATAAAAATAAATGGAAAAAAAATAAATAAATAAAAATAAAATTAAAAAATAAATAAATAAAATATAGCTTTAAATCTATGTGCTATCACCCGATCTACTACCAACCTGTGTAAGCCTTCTGCGTTTTGCCAACACTCTGTAAATACACTCTATTAACTCATTTCCTTGCTTCCCCTTCCAACCCTATGCAGTGTCCCTTCCCTCCTTAAAACCCATCAGTGACTTCCAGCTTTCTTCTCCAGGCTCATTCTCCATCCCACCGCTACCACCCAGCACACACACACCACACATATCTCCCTTGTCTTTAAACACTTCATGTACTATATTTGTTTCAGTTTCAGTTTATATTCCATAGTCAGCCTCAG